CTCTTCGCATTAGGTGACCAAAGTATCTGAGCTTGAGCTTCGTTATCAATCCTTCCAATGACCATTTTCCAAATCAGATACTTCAATCACTCCATTGAAGGATCTGTATCAGGTCAGATGAAAATTGTGTGCTCCAATCACCTACTGTTGATTCTTCTAACTGGGACAAAGCATTTTAGATGTGCTCAAGCTTGTTACTTAAGCTAGTAAGCCTTGTCTGTAAAATTCAAACTCCACATAAAGGCCATTAACAAGGAGTGTATAAAACAGGTAAATTTACAGCACTGCAGCAGAGTTTCTTCTTATAGGCCAGGAATACACAACATTTTCTTAGCCTGTAAACTGCGTACCAGTGAATGTAAGTGAAGTCAAGACAAAAATAAATGCATTTGGTTTAATTTAATTGATATATAAATTGAATTAAATGTGGTTAGCATGATTATGCACCAATCATGCAGTTAACAGATACCACCTTCTGTCAAATTGAAAACCACAATCTAGCAAATTTTGATGGTGCCTGAAGCACACACAAAGGCTTGGTGTGGAGGGAGATCGCAGCTTTGTCCTAGGCTGAAAAAAGGGAATTTTAAAGAAATACAGTAGTACCAGTAATTAGCATTGCAACAACTAAGTGACTACACCCCTCTGAATGTAGTGGCGTGCCCTCCACCGTAGCTTTAAAATGCTAAACTGACATAAAACGAGCTTTATATACAGTAGTAATCTAATGCTACTTTGAAAATTCTTGTTTAATTTTTTACAGCTTATGAACCATTTATTTCTATTTCTTTTTTTTGTTCCTTTTTTCTTGGGTGTGCTTTTAAAGAACGATTAAAATAAATCATATCCTGGGAGTTCAGTGTTGGAGCTGGCCGCTGCCTCCTCCTCCTCCCTCCCTCCCTCCCTTTTTGGCCTCCACCCACCATCTCTCTGCCTTGCTCTTCCTGGCCCTCCTCCCTTTCCGCCTACCCTGTCCTGTTCCATCCGAGAGATGGGGGGACTGAACAAGTCCAGTATCATATCCTGGCAAATCCACCCTTTGTTTCTAGGTGCCTGAGGACACATGGGGGTTTTGTGTGGCCACCCTATAATGGAGCTTGTTTGATGAAGAAAATGGAGGCATTGTAAGACCGGGTAACTGGAGGCTGGGTGGGGAATGCAAGACGGGAAAAGGAAGGTTATCAAACATTTTTCTCAATGGGTGTTGGGCGGAGCAAGGAGACAGCATCAGACATTCCAGCTGACCAGCCTGAAGCTTTCAAGAATGGGTGCTCTGCTGAACATGTCTTCTGTGTTTTTTCCTTCTGACCACAGTTCTTCAGTTAAATGGGAAAGAAACTGCTTTTGATTTTTTTTTTCTGAAGGAGAGAAAATGTTAGATAAATTCTTACGGCTGAGGGGTTGGCTTTGGTACTCATTTCTATTGCAACATGGCCAAAGGTGGTGTGAGCACTATGTCCTTCACTGCACACTTGTCTCTCCAGCTGTCTGCAACCTCCCTGGCTTCCTTGCTGCTATTAAATTTAAAGGAAAGACATTAAGAAGAGCAGCCAGGGAGTCTGCAGCATCCTTTGTCATCACACAGTGATAAAGCTTAAAGATTAAAAACAAAGGCCATCGTTCAGCAATCCACACAGAGCATCTGTGGATTTCTTTTGTTTGCTTGAAGAAATAGATCTTCAAGGGTGCAGAGAGTCTGGAGAAGTTAGAGTGGAGAAACACTACTGGGCTGTTGTAGGCATTGCTTGCGCTCCTTAGAAAAACAGAACTGTTAGCACCTGGCCAATCTGCTCTAGCGCTGAGTCTAATCAGCACAGGACTGGATGAACATCCTTGTTTGGAACATGAAGTCTCTAGAACAAACTTCCCCTACCTGGTATCTGCAAGATATCTTGGACAAATATCCTGTTGTAATATGTTTACTTCCTCTTTCTTAGGTAGAGGTCATAGCTGGACAATTGAATGTAGTTCCATCATTCAGCATAAACATGCTTGACTTCTGCCTATAGTTTAGATACAGATTTTAACCATATCTATTCTAGGAATTATCACCAAGGGGTCTTCCCATAAATACAATTACTACGTCAAATCCTACCAGGTTCAGTTCAGCAGAGATGGCAAGAACTGGAAAATCTACAAATCCAGCAGCACCAACGAGGAAAAGGTGAGATGGACTAAAATAAGGCACTGCTTTTAGTAGGGGTGGAAAATAGCCATTGTCAAGCTGAGGACTAATCAGGTCATAAGACCAGAAATGTATACAGTGAACTTCAGTTTAATGGACCAATTAAGTAGAGGGGGTGCCCATTGTTTCCCAGTGACGGTCACTTTCTAAAGTATGTCACTGTGGCCATTTATGTAATGTTGGTAATAATGTCATTATGAAAATGATATAAATTGCCACAAATGACATCATTTGAGTTATTATGAAAATGTTATAAATTGCCACCAATAAGATAAACTTAATGAGAGTTTTGATATTTTTTGCCCCATTCGGGCTACTTTGGATGTGACAGTTATGTCCATTATTTTGAGGAAATGTCTGAATGGAAATGTCCACGGCATCTAAAGTCTGCTCAGTGGGAGGCTGCTAAAGCAAGGTTTCATTGTATATCCAAGCGCTGGGCAAAGGACCTTGTTGTGCAAAACTGTAGTTAAAAAAAAAAAAACTACCACAGTAGTTAACAAAGGCCAAATGCAAAAGGGGAAATCCCAAATTTAGCTGATATAAAAGCATAGCCAATGTAAGCGAAGTTGAACTGGAATTAAAGCTGACACATCAAAGTGGAAGTTTCTGAGTTAGTGATCAAGGTAGTGTCAAGAATAGAAAAGAAATTCAAAGAAAACAGAAAGAAAAGTTGATCCTTCAACTTTTGGGTTAGAGGACAATTGTAGAGCCAGTGGAAGAACTGAAACTGCTTTTGAAACTGAAAATTCAGTCTCTGTGGCATTCTAATTAAAGCCTTTAATTCATGGGATTGTAGTCCAACACCTCTGGAGGATAAAGGTAAGGAAGGCTGCATTAGATTATGCCCCATTTGAACAGTTATGGTGATACTTTTATTTTGCTGACCTCTGTCCTTCCTTCCTACACTGAAACCTTTGCAGATCTTTGAAGGCAACAGTGACAATTACCAGGAAGTCTCCAATGCCTTTATCCCACCCATCCTGGCCCGCTACCTGCGCATTGTACCCCAGAGCTGGAATCAGAGAGCTGCTCTGAAAGTAGGGGTGCTAGGATGCCAAACCCTTCGCCAGAAATATGTTGATACTGAAGGTAAAGTATTCAGCAACATCTGGAGGGGTATAAGTTCCCCATCCTTGTTCTGAAATTGAAGTGATTAATAGCATTAGCAGGCGGTACCTGTGATGTGGCGCATTAAAAGACTTGCCTGAAATTATTCTCTTTGCAGGCCACAGTAGCCCCAAGGGGTTCCCCAGTGTGACCAGCACCCCATCCATTTTCACTACAATCCCAGGAATAGTGATCAATCCAGAAAAAACAGGTAAGATTTCTGGTTCATAATGCCAAGAAATGGCTTAGTCAAACAGTCAGATGGGGGAGGGAAGGGGAGGGTTCTGAGCACTTCCTTCATGGCCTAATTCAGGTCTCTTTCTCTCTCTCTCACACACACAGAGTGTCTTCCTTATGATGTATAACCTTACTTAAACATTTATTTCCCACTATTCAGCCTGAAAGATTCTCAGAGTATCTTAATATGTGCCATCAAGTCAGTGTTGACTCTTAGTGACCAAACAGATACACTTTCTCCAGGTTGACCTGTCCCAAACCTGGCCTTTCAGGTCTTCAAACAATGCACCCCTTGCCACTGTAATTGAGATCATCCACCATGTCGCTGGTTGTCCTCTTTTTCTCTTTCCTTCTGCCTTTCCCAGCATTATTATTATTATTGGATTTTTATTATTAGATTTTTATCCTACCTTTTTTTTATATTATGGACCTCTCAAGAGAGAGCTAGGCCTTTGTACAATGTGTCCAAAATGTAATTTGTGCCTCAAGTGAGAACTCTGGATTGATTTGTTCTATCATTCATTTATTTTTCTTCATGGCTACCTGTGGCATTCTCACAAGTCTTCTCCAGCACCCGAGTTCACCAACTAATAAAAATACAGCTCTAAACAAGATCCAGCATAGAAGGAAAAAGAGCTCATTTGTAAAATGTTATGGTTCACAGAATGATCTGTAATCATCTCCAGAAGAAACAACCCGGTTACTCACCTTCCCAAGTTATTAGTGCTTGTAGCCTCTCTGAAGACAAAGGAGAACAGTTCGGCTAGCAGCTGGAGTAGGCAATGAAAGGGCAGTTTCTCACTGCTTTTTGCTTAGATATGAACTCATCGACTGTCTATCCATTGGGAAGGGCTAAAGCTCAGTGGCAGAGCCTTGGTTTTGCATGTAGATGGCCCTGGTTCCATGTTCAGGCTGGGCTGGGAAATAAATGTGCCTGAAATGTTGGAAGAGATTCTTCCAGTCAGCTAGAATTAAATGGACGATTGACCTGTAGAGGAGTCCAGAGATGGTCTTGAAGAAGATATGTGGCAGCCATTAAGAAAATGTGAACTTAGTCCAGAAAAACAAGTAGTAGGGAGAAAGAAACTCAAGTTAGCCCTGCCTTGACTCTCTTTAGTGTAAGAGGGAGGGAAAGAGAAGCGTTGTCAGGCTTTCAAGAATCTGTAATGATAGTCTATACCAATAGTGTTCTAGTATTTCTTGTGGTGCTTGTTTCCTGATCTGACCTACCTTGAAGGTCTGACATTATCTGAATTAATAGAAGGCATAAGCTGGTGTGAAGGCAAGACATTGCATAATGGTGGTTAAAATGGGAGCTATGGTGCACTAAAATTGGTCTAGCAATTCTGCAAGTCTTATTCTCCTGTGATAAGATACTTTTTTTTCTACTTCATTCACAGGGTATTTAAATTTTTCTTTTCTTTTCTCTTGGTTGTTGTGTTTGAGCTTGCTTGATTGTTGGCAGGGAGCTGACGGTGGTGCTGTTGATGTTCTACCACTCTGAAGTCCTCCCTAGCTCTTCCTGCTTCAGGGTTATATTGCGTTCTGTGGGAGGAAAGCTTTTTTGATGTCTTCCTTTTGGATAAGGGAAGAACTCCATGATGGACTTTGGAATGGCAGATCTACTGATGCAGAAGCCACTACCATCCACCTTGGAAAGACAACCCAGTCCTTTCTGCTAGGCAAACACAAGCTAACGCACCACCTTTCCTGTTGGATTGTTCCTGTCTTCCTCTGTTTCCCATCAGCCATTTCCTCCTTGAAAGAGCAAATGAAAACCAGCCATAGCCATGCCAACATTTTATACTGTTCCATTCTCCCTGCCTGCCTTTCTTGCGGGTGCCTCCTGTCCCTTTCCTTGATGTTCTCTCGGGACTCAAAGTGGAGATACAGCAGGTGACTCAGGTCAGCCAAAAAAAGGACATGATGCTGGACATCCGTGATTTGATTTGCTTGTTTGTATCCCAGCCAATTTGAAGTGGGACTGGGATTTGGTTAGGAGCAGTGATGCTGTCATTAATATGTTCCCTTTCATGCCCACATCTACTGCCATCACATTCTATTCCAAGTATCCTGGAACAGACGCTTTCTTTTTCTCACCCTCACCCACACAGTTGCCATCTACACTGGGGAAAGAGAGGAAAAATCTGTGTTACGGTGAAACCTCTACCACCATTTACCAGATCCCAGATGCAACGGGCCAAACGTCTACCTGGATATGCCCCCTAATAATGGATAGGTCTGGTGCATTTGAAGCATTTAAAATAATGTTAAATGAACTTTAAACTCCTTTTTTGCACTATGTTCCTTGCATAATGACATGAACATGATGTGAATATTGGTGATGGCCTTTCATATTTAATGGACGTTCAGGAAGAAGGGATAACCCTCCCCCCAACCAATCCTTTAGATCAAAATGCCACTGTATTATTTTAGGGGGTTGTGCAATGCTGCTGATTCAAGGCAGAATGCTGGCAATTCCTTCAGCCAACGGTGTCTTTTCCCAGGATTGCATTGCAGTCATGGAGGGCAACCACATGATCCTGGGAGAAGCTACGGCTGCTTTAAAAAGTTGCCAATAAGGTGCTTTGTGAGCACCCCCTCCAAGTGCTTTAAAAGACCTCTTCTCTCTCTGATCTGAAGCACTGCACAGCCATGTTATTTCCCCAGGAGGTCAGAGGTGATAGTTTGGACTAGGGCAGTGTTTCTCAACCTTGACAGCTTTCAGAGGGGTGGATTTCAACTCCCAGAATTCCCTAGCCAGCCTGCTGGGAGTTGAAGTCCACCCCTCTGAAAGCTGCCAAGGTTGAGAAACACTGCCCTAGAGAGATGGCCTAGGAAGACAAGGTCTTCTCTGGCATCATTACTTTGGTCAAAATCATGTCCCACCTCCAACAAGTAAATGCTGGAAAACTGGTTCATGGTACTCTACTATCCTGTCATTCTCGCAAGGATGAAAAGGCATCAACCGATCTGAAATTCTGTTCTAAATTACAAGAGTTAACACACAAATGATGCAAAGCTTCAGGGAGCCATGTGGAAAAATAGAAAGAAAATCATAACTTTATTGCTACTGCCCAAGATATTTCTGGAAATGACTGAGCCGTGCGGTTGGTCTCCACAAAGCTATGGACAGGGTCCCACAAATGGATTTTACCTCTTGAAGCAGTTGGGTGGCATTAGGATTAATGGGGGCATGCTTCAGTTTGACATATAACCAGATCAGTTGTCCCCAACCTGTCATTCTCCAAGATATGTGAACTGTAACTCCCAGAATCTCCTTGGCCAAGCTGGTTAGCAATGTTAGGAGTTGTAATCCTTAGCCATCTTCAGGATATCAGGTTGGGGACATCTATCTAAATCAAATTATCCAGACATCTGCACATCACACTGGGCCATGCTTTGTTTTAACCAAAACTAAAATAAACCAGAAACAAACCACAGTTGGTTTTACAGATGAGCAAAGTAACCATGGCTTGTTTGGCCAATTTCTGATTCATCCCCTCCCCACTTTTTTGCTGTTTTTAACTTGTATCTCATATTGTGGATAAGTTAGCAGCTGCTTGTTTGCAAAAGAAAAACAAACCAGGAATAAGCCAGGAAACCACAAATAAAGGCTGTGTTCCTGTCCACCTATCACACAAAGATCTATACTTTGTACTAAGCGTCAGGGATCTAGCGTGTTTATGTTATTTTATTTTTTTATTTAACAGCATGCATAAGCTTCCACAGTCTGGAAGAACTAACTATGGTTTATGACTTAAGGTGTTGTGCATACCAGTCAAAATGTGGTTCATTCAGTAAACTAGTGTTAAACCATGATTTAGAGTGTAAGTGCAGTCCAGATCATAACAATTAAAGCCAGCAAATCATTTTTCCAGGTGTAATTTAGTGCCATGAAACATCCTGTGGTTTATTCAATGACTGTGTGTTCCCATGATGCTATCACGTCATCTCTTGCCTTCACATGATGCCTAGTATGCTCTGAACTTCAAATAACCATGCTCCATAATTAGTCCAACCCTAGAATACTGCTATGGGGGGCAGCCTTTGGTGATTGAATCCCTCCCCTTGCAGGTCCCCCATTACTGGCAATGTTCCTGATTGGAGGTTCGCTCCTGATTGCCACAACTGTCTTGCTGCTGGTGTTCCTCTGTTGTAAGAAGAGGTGAGTGTTGCTCCTTCCTTGCCTTTCTTTCCCCTTGGAACTTTTTTGAACTCAATCTTGCTGCAGTCATGGGTCCACACATCATGTGAAGCTCAAACCCAGCAAACCCCATTATAGTGAGACCCGTGAATCCAACCGTAGGGCCACCTTTCTGCGTGTTCTCCACTGACATCAATCCAAGGGAAGGCAACGTGATCTTTTACCACCCAACCCACTGGCATTAGAAAAATATTATTAAAACATCAGTAAATTGACCTGCTGCGAAGCACCAGACTCTAGCATCCAATTTATTTGCAGCAATGCTTTTAGGCCTCAGGAAAGCACCACTGGATGGTAGAGAGCATGGTGGGGATGAGTTTTCCTTCTGGTTAGGGTTTTTTTCAGGACTGGTGTTTTTGAGATAGAGGACACTTGAAGTCCAGCCTAAATCCTAAAACAGAGCTTAACATAGTTTAAAACATGAAGAACCCTTTCACAAAAGCTGGGGAGGACCCAGAAAATCTTGGCCATGCTCATAGTCTATTATCATCAACCCATCCACTGTGATTTTCAGCCCCCTAGAAAAAAAATCAGTGAGCCAGCCAGGAAAAATGGTTTCCACCTAATCGGACCATTACAGCGTGTTCAAGAATTTAATCCAGGCTTTAAATGATAGGCTCAGAGGGACAAAGTGGTCCAAACCCAGGTCACAAGTCCATTTTACAGCTCTTCCAGCTGCGTCTGTATCTTGTGGATTAGATCTCACTCCCAGCACTGCCACGACAGTGCTCTTACAGCATAAACAGACACTCTAACCTTCTGTGTGCTTTTCGACCCACCCGTTATGCATCTCTTCTTCTCTTTGGCAGGAAGGCACCAACCCAGAATGACTGTAGCGTCATAAAAGGTAAAGCACCAAATGATGCAGAGCATTAAAATACCAGAGAAGGAAGTTTGTCCTGTTTGGGGGTAATGTGCAGATCCTACGTGCAAAACCAAACTGGTGCAGACATCCAGATTTGCTTATCTGAGGCTTTTGCACATCAGTTTGAAAATAATATTTTGCCTTTTCAGGAAAGTCGTGGCTTTTTATTAATGTCTCAGGATTTATTGGATGGATGCCGATGATCGTTTTAAGCTGTTTTACTGGTTTTTGGAGAAGAGGGCATTCTTCTTATAACCGCGTGCAGCTTTGGGAGAAGTGTAGCACATCACATCCTCAATAAATGAAGAACACCTTCTAGCCCAGTGTTTGTCAACCTTGGCAACTTTAAGACATGTGAACTTAAACTCCCAGAATTCCCCAGCCAGCATTTCAGAATTCCCCAGCACATGTCTTAAAGTTGCCAAGGTTGAGAAACACTGCTTTAGGGAAACAGGAGGGAGTTTAATTTCTTTTTCCCTTCTTTGATACTTCTGAAAATACTGAGGCTTTACAAGCCTGCCACCATTGTCCTCCCTGTGCGTAAAATACACATTACTGCTTTGGATACACAAAGATCCACACATGGAAGGTGAGTTCATAATTACCAGATAAGATTGGTGGTTGCAAGCCAGCATGAGTCTTACAGTAAGAAAAAGCTTTCTCTAACCAATCATTCTGCTCTTTCTCCAAATGTAATTCAAAAAGTACTTGAACTGCAATATGCACAGTTGCTTCTAGCTTCTGTTGGTTTCTCTAGATAATCCTGCAATTCCATTTTAGGTTACTTGATACCAGAAGCCAGCCAGGTATGTTCCAGGGGGAACTTGCAACTATCTGCCTCTGAAATTGCCCCCTTTCCTGGGCCAGCAACACCAGTAGATCTTACTGGAGCTCAGTCACCAGGTAGGTTACTTTCTCCTGGTGCCACCTAAGAGATCATGTATCCTCTTCTCCTGGCCTTAATATTGGAAAGTGTAGAATCATAGTGCAATCCCGTAGGTGTTCAGGAGGACCTATACCAAAGGAATATATTTTAAGCCTTAACATAGAAGTCTTAAGTCTTGCTGGGAAGCTGGGTTTGTAGAATCACTACACGTGATGGCTGAGTGCAATGTATGGTCCAGCTAACGTCTTTCCTGAATGACCTGCTTGTTCCTTTCAAATCAGATTAATTCTAAAGAAGGGGTTTCTTGTCCCATAACGTAGCTCTGGACCAATACATTTTATTGTCCAGAAGCAACTCTCACAAGCTCAGGCATCATGTAATTACAGTCTTGCGAGCAGCAAGTTTGTTCTATTCACTCTACACAGCTGGACTTGAACACTTGGCCTATTTAATCCTGGTTGCTCTCCATGATGCTGAGCAGAGCAGGGAGAAGGGCAGAGGGACTGGGCAGAGGGGCTGGGCAGCAGGCCATCAGCATTCTGCAGCAGCTAGGGGCAGTGCCATTCATGGGGCAGTACCAGGCTGGCAGAATGAAAGCAGAAAACCAGGAAGATTCTAGGAACATCCCCTCATCAGCGTGTCAGAGACCCACCCAGCTTTAACTGGAGCAGCTTCTGGAGCTGGGGATGTGTCAAGGGCTCCCAGAGGGCATCGATCAAAGCCATGGAAAGTCAAGAAATGTGCAGCTCAAAAAGGGAAGGGAATTAAGCAAACAGCCAAGCCCTGGCCACTATCTGTGTCTGCTTCCTTGGAGACTTGAAGCAGTTCTGAAATGAGTTATAAGGATATTCAGCCAAACAAGGTTACCACTAATGAAGTGCAGAATAAATTCTGCATTTTTTTTCTACCAGCCTCTCATTCAGTTTGATGAAAGAAGTTGGTTTCCCAATTCTCTTCTCCATTGAAAGCAAAGAGGTCCAGTCTTGAGAAGGAGAATTGGTATGTCTCTCTTCCTTCAAAGTGGTATCCTCAATGTGGGATGAGAAATAGCTCCTCCACCCTAGTCAGTGCCAACCTAGGAGTTGTAATGCACACCTGGAGGGCACTAGGTTGAAGGAGGTAGCTCTTGTACACATGAACAAATGAAGACTCTAGAACTGTATGAGATGAACGCATCTTTCTCCCTGTCTTCCACCCTTCAGATCTGTAATGTGCAAGACTCTGGGATTGTTGGATGATCCTGTGGGCCTGACACATTAGCCTCTCTTAGGTATAAAACAGATTTCAGGCTGTGCCAATCACTGCTCCCTTTGACTAAAAGACAATACGGTAGTGTCTGTCCTCTTCTTCTAATATGCGTGACGTCTAGCAACTACTTGGATTATCTCCAACACTGAATGGAATCTGGTTGTCTCTGCACGAGACAGAGAGGAGACAGAACCCAGTAATCTGTATGAAGGGCCGGTCCCATCATTAGACAGAGGATGAGAGTCACTCAGTCAGCAGATATTGAAAGGTCATAATAAGGTCTTGGAAGAGAGAGCAGTGTGTCACACCAACTCTGAGTCTGGGGAGACTCGTCTTTTGCCTTTGCCAGTGGAAGATGAGGCCTTATTGCTGATTCTGAAATTACATTCAACTGCTGGTCTAGTCAGCTTTTGTACATGGGATGGGTGTGGGGAACTTCTCATTCTTTGCTTTAGGAAACCCAGACTGCCCCAAGCAGCCTTGGGCATCTGATCAGATGCCCTCAAAAGCAGAAGAGTCAACCCAGAACTAGCATTTAGAGCTGTCATTGAGGCAGCATGCTTGCAGCATACTCAGGGTTTCCAGAGTCATGTCTCCGTCATCCTACAGGAATGTCTCATTCTTCCCTCACCCCCTCCTTCTTTGCAGAATATGCCGAGCCAGACTTGGTTCAAGTCAGCCCCAGCTGCCAGGCGGCCCCGTCCACCTTCAAGCCTGCCATGGACGAAGGTTACACGCTCCCCCTGGTGGTGAATCCCTACGATGTGCCAGGCAGGCAGCACGAATACACCGAGCCCTTGCCGCTGGAGCCTGAGTACGCCACCCCTTTTGTTGAGCAGCCTGCAGCGCTGGAGAGAGGCCCTTGCAGGATGAACATCAATATCAAAGTGCTCCCTTTCTCCCAAAGCCTGGGGGGCTCCCTAGCCCCACTGGGGGCCCCCAAAGCCTCACTGCAATATGATTTCCCAACTCAGTGCCCGGTGGAGAAGCTGGACAGCCAAGCAGGTGAGGTTGGCCAGCAGGAAAGATCCATCCGAACTGACCCCGATTGGACTCCAAGCCTGGGAGACAGAGTCCGCACCACCTCATTGCAGGGCCGCTATTTCCAGCAGAGGAACTCACCCTATGAACACGTCTATCACAAGCCCTTGTGAGTCCTGCAGAAAGGAAACCTCCCCCTTGGGCTGCTGTGAAAAAGGCGGATCTTGTTGAAGGACCCAAAGCTTCACACCAAGTTCAGCTCAAGTTCAAAATGACGTGACCAGTCACAGTTTTTCCATGTCGTAGGCAGAGGTATGGCCAACCAATTGCTGCCTGATTCTTTTTTAAGCAATGAGACTCCAGTAGTTAAAGCTGGGACCTTCTTCCGATGGAATCTGCATTCAGCTCCTTGCTGGGTTCCTAGGCTGGCCCCAGATGTTTGCAAAGAACAAGATGCCACCGTCTCTCCTTCAACGTGCAAACATCGACCAGCCAGGGGATTCATTCTTACTTGGATGCTGATGATGGAATTGTATTTTTCAGTGCAGGCTAGGTTGGGGGACCCAGGACAACCAGACAGGCACACGGCTTTTCTTCTCCATATATTTTGCTGCTACCTCCTGGTATTGGCCATCTGAGGACACTGCCTCACTCTACCCAACAACAGGGCCAGCTGGTACTTCTGCAAAGGACCATGGTTCATTCTATCTATGCTAACCTTCCACGCCCAGGCCGGGGAACTTTCCAGCTAAGACTCAGGTTGTTAAATTCAGAAGAAAGACAAGTGTTCCAACAGTCCTTGGTTGCCTGCACTGTAGTCCAAAAACAAGTGGAGTTGTGGGGGTGAGGGACTGCATCTATGATTTCTTTTGGCTACATTGCAGATATAATTATTGTTAATAACACATGCACATCATGTTATGAGATTCCCAATGGAAGAAAAGAGCCAAACTTCATTCAGGGGAGCTCTTCTATTACTATTCCCTTGAAAAATATTTTGTAAACCAAATTTTAAACATCTGCTGCTTTTTTCCCGTCCTCTCCTTGCCATCTATTACTAACAAATCAGCGTTGAGTTGTTCATTTTTGTTCCTATTCAGAAATGAGAAATCAGAAGATTTCTCTATGTGTGGAAGAAGTTTGCATTCTGTTTAATGCCCAGATGTGAATGCCCCCCAGGGGCCAATATCCATGGGATATTTCCAAGAAAGAGGAGCTGAAAGCTAGTGTGATCATCACAAACTTTATTAAGGGTAAATACATATAGGAGCAAACACACAGTGCTACCTGGGACAGACAACAGGTATGTATGCTATATTCTGCCCTAGCACGTCTGTGCCAAGGGGCTGGTTTGTAAAGCCTTTATAGCCATGTGCGAAACAAAATGTCTCAGAAACTAGCTTATCAGTGAAGTGCCCTTCCTGTGAACTCTCTGCACATGGCATTGCCTCAGTGTGCGTTCTCAGATACAGTCTGTGCCATATTGTACATCTATTTTTTATACTAAAAGTTCATGCAGTGGTTAAACATGGTGTTAGCATAGTTCAGTGTATACACCAGTGTTTCTCAACCTTGGCAACTTTAAGATGTGTGGACTTCAACTCCCAGAATTTCCCAGCCAGGCT